TTTAGGTGGAGCCCGGGGGAGTCCCCAAAAAAAAAAAAAAAAAAAACGATGATGATGATGATGCTCCTCGCGGGGACACAAGCGCTCACGAGGAAAGATTGTTCTATTCTTGCGGGCAACATCTCGCCAGCATACTTTCGGAGTGACTTCGTGGCCATGTGATCAGAACATTTTCCGCCCCTCCCCGTTTTTTTTTCCTTCTCCTCCTCCACCTTGCAGACTGAGAACCGTTAAGTCAGAGCGCATAGTGGCTCCCTTGTTTCGCCTCCCCTGAGAATGAATTTTCATTTTTTTTGAGAAGGCTGTGGTGACGTGTGAGTGCATTTTTTTATTTTATTTATTTATTTTTTGCTGCTCCATTTTTTTCCCCCCACACAAAATTGAAAAACTAGACTCAACTGTCATCTAAAAAAAAAAAAACATTAAGCACAAGTATGCGGTGCCGGAAATACAGGAAGCCCCCGTCAACCTGCAAAGCAACAGGAAGTTTTTTTTTTTTGTATGTTTGCTTTAAAACTCAAGCTTCTATGTGGCTCAACACGTTGCACTTTGTAGAATTACAATTCAGGAAACTGCCAGCCATGCAGAATATTGGCAGGATTGACGTTTATCATTTTATATCCAATGCCATTCAACCGTTTGGGGTCACTTGCAATTGTCCTTTTTGAAAGAAAAGTTTGAAGTGAATGTCTACATTAGATTCGGTGGATATGAAAAGTCTACCCCCTCATGTTTTCACGGAAAATATGAAATTGCCTGCAGGTTACCCCCAAACATTTGAATGTTATCGTCAATACCGCGCCAGATTGGCTCTCCTGGTCATATTTACAAATCCTCCCTTGTTGTGCTTCGGCGCGACAGATTTCAGATCCTGCCGACGCTCCCGCGGGGGAGGAGGACTTGAGCCCGGAGGAAAGGCGGGTCCGGGAGAGGAAGATGAAAAAGATCCTGAAGAAGAAGATGAAAGCCGAGGGGATCATCCCGCCCCAAAACAAAGAGCCCGGCCCCACCGCGTCCCGGCAGGCCTTGGATTACCTCACCTGGTGAGAGACACATTTGAGGAGAAAGCGCTTCAGATAATGTGTTGAGAATATCAAAAATGTTTTAGTTGGCCCAAAGCTCAGGCTGGGGAAGAGTATCATTGGTGCCATCGATTTGTTTTATTGGTGCACGATGCACACTGCAGCCTTAAAAAAAAAAAAAAAATACTATTTTGCGGGTGGGCGGGCCAGTTTGTAACGACGGTTTTACCTTTTCAGCTGGGCTGACAACCGCGCGGCGTGGAAGTTTCAGAAGACGCGGCAGACGTGGTTACTGCAAAACATGTTTGATTCCGAACAGGTAAGCGCGCCACACGTGTTCTCGGATTACTGCACCCGAATGTTCACATTTGGTTTTAACGTGTTACTTCTTTAAAAAAATATGAAATGAAATCTGAAGATCTAAGTTTAACCTGGGTTGTTCGCGGATGAAGAGAGTTTCCGCTACTTTGCGGTGCATTTATTTTGCAATCAGTCGAAATGTTGCTTTCCTTTGTTTGTTCAGTCGGTCAATCTTGTGACAATTTGCCGACAGATTCGAGATGAGAAGTTCTCGGTGCTGCTGCAGTACCTGGAGGGCCTCCGTGGGGGGTCGAGAGACACCACAGTACAGAAGGCCCTCGTCCTGGTCCAAGAATCGGGGCAAGCGCCCGATGACAGAAATGTCCAGAAGAAGGCGCACAGAGCCAGAGAAGTCATCCAGATGCTTTCCTGATCTCAGGCTTGGACTTCTTTTCATTTTATGATCATGACTTCCAGAAGGGGGACTCTGTCAAGACCTTTAAATTCCATGATGGCATTTGACCTCATTTAGAAAACTACAGGAGTACTTTTTTTTTTTTTTTAAATATGAAAGTAGCCCAATTTTTAGGCAACAATTCCCAAAAGTTTCTCAGGATATTTGTTTGTGAAATGTGCCGACTCCGTTGTTCTTTTTCAGTATTTTATTTCCAAAAACCAAGATGCTGCACTCGGCGTGAATGGCGAACAGCACCTGACACGATTAAATATTCCATTTTGTCATTCCCAGCAAGCTATTTCTAAAAGTCCTCCAACTTCCAAAGACCGCATTCACAAAATTCAGGGGAAGCATTTCCTTCCCCCATTCCTCAAATTTCCCATTGAAATAAAAAAAGACATTTCTACCTTGCACATTTGTAAAGTGATTTCAGCGTATTCATCCAGGACATCTTGGGAAGTATTTTTCCATAACAATAAGAGATATTAAAAAGAAAAACTTTCATTTAAAAGTTTTCAGTCTCCCATTTCAGGTTGGCGTCATCTCCGCAGAGTCCCGTTTAAGCACGTCGCCGCCCCCGTCTTACGTTCATGTGGACGGCATGCACGCAAATCCGTCCCGTTGCTCACGCCGCGTCCTGCTTAGCGAGCTCCAAAAGGCCAACGTCGCCACGCAACTGCTGCGCCTCCGCTGTCGTCTTGGCACCTTTTGTCTCATCTGTGATGCGAAGCGAAACATTAAAATGAACGTTTTGTACACTCGCAAATTGTTTTGGGGGGCATGTCTAACCTGGTTCTGCATCGAAAGCGATATTGTGATGAGTGAGCAGGGCTCGCAGTCTCGCGATCTCTTCTCGCTGCTTGTGGAAGTCCTGCAAAAGGTAAAAGGCCCCTCTTCTCATCCATGCTGAGCGGTAAAGGATGAGGAGATGTCGCCAAGTCTCGCTTCTGTCGCCACGCAACTGCTGCGCCTCCGCTGTCGCCTTGGCACCTTTTGTCTCATCTGTGATGCCAAGCGAAACATGAAATGCACGTTTTGTACACTCGCAAACTGTTTTTGGGGGCATGTCTAACCTGGTTCTGCATCGAAAGCGATATTGTGATGAGTGAGCAGGGCTCGCAGTCTCGCGATCTCTTCTCGCTGCTTGTGGAAGTCCTGCAAAAGGTAAAAGGCCCCTCTTCTCATCCATGCTGAGCGGTAAAGGATGAGGAGATGGCGCCCGTGCGTTTCCACTTCAGCTTCGACCCGGGGCGGCTTCCTGGCCGCTTTTTGACTTTTTAGGAGGCCGGCATCCTCAAACACATCCCTGACCAGATTGTTGTATCCCTGCAAGGGACAAAAGAAGCGTTCAGCTCGGCATCATAAAGGAACAATTCTGTAGCTTTCCGATGCGATTAGTGATATATATTTTTTTAATTCCGTAACTTACTTGCTCAGTGACAAGGCCTTCATAGCGAGCCTGTTCGGCTTCATCCCATTCCTTTTGCAGCTTCTCATTTAGGGTTGGGTACACTTAAAACACAGCAAAAATCTTTTTTTTTTTTTTCCCCCCCATTGCCTTCCTTTCTTTTATCATCCAAGTAAAGAATTAATTCCGCTGAAATATTGAAGTCGAATGGCAAAGTCAACTGGTCTTACCTAAAAGAGAATGCGGGTGGCAAACAAGTGGCGTCTCAAAAGTTAGCGAGTACACGCAAGTGCTCGGCTCTGACACTTGAGCAAGTTTGGTTTGGCTGCTGCAGGCAAGAAGCACCTTCAGAGAAAAAGTTGAGAGGTCCAATTAGGTTCCCAGTGTAAAAGATCTAGTGCACTTTAAGTTCATCCCAAAACTTTTGAGGAGTAATTTTGACCCCGCTCACCTTTGCTTCTCTGTTTCTGGTGCCACAAGTGTCGCCGTCTCTCATCCACATGCCTGTAAAAGTGTTGTTTGCCATCTCCCACTCGTGCCAGATCCTGAAAGGAGAACATATCATCATTTGCGCTCACTGCTGAATGTCCACAAATGGTAGCTGGAGGCGTCTTACCCCAGGATCCCACTGTAAGCGTTCCATCGGAATGACTGTTCATGTTGGGTGATGTTATGAAATGGACACAGCTCGTATCTATACCTGAGAGGATGAGACACAGTTGCAAGAAGATGTACGCGAACCCGCCAAGTGTCCTTTTGGTTGTGACAAAGATTCTGGGTAATACTTACACTGATTGTGTGAGACTGAAACACCTTCCAGCCAAATGAAAAAGGTGCGAAGGTCCTTGTGGAGATATGATGTTCAACAACAAAACATTTATTTGGACCAACATTCAAGATGGAATGAAATATTGTCGCATAAAATGACATTGAAGTTACCAGACACTGGCGATGGAAGCACTTTAGCCTGCAGTCTGCTTCCGTGAGACAGAAAATTGTTGTTCACCCTTAGGAGGGAAACATTCAAAAATTAGCTCAAGGATGGGGTGTAAAATAATGGATTGATGGATGTTCATCTGTCTATGCCAGTGAGATGAGTGTAAAAAAATGGATTGATGGATGTTCATCTGTCTATGCCAGTGACGTATAGTGTGGAGGCGTTACATGCGAATGTTTTCCTACATGGCAGGAGGTCCAATTAACCTACCATGCCATGTTAACGTGTACAAAAATGGCCAATTTTTGTTCATGTTAAGACCTAATATCAGACGGCCAATTAATGGGTTGTACTAACAAAAAAACTAGCAAAAATGGTTTTAGGGGAGCTGGAATGGAATGATGGCATTCCAGCTGCTTTCAGAACACCGAATGGGAAGCAGTGGGGAAAAAAAAAATTGTTTTTTGTTTTTGACGAACCCAAAGGTATTCGGCGCCTCGACTATCTTCATTTTACCGGCGATTCCATGGGTTGCTGTGGAAAGAGAAATCAAAAGACAGAAACGTTAATCTTCCCCATGGCTGAATGATGTGCATCGTCTCTGTCGATGTCATTGTAGCGATAATCAAATGAAATTACACTCCAATGACTCACCTAAGAGGGACAGGCCCACAGTGAAGGCGAGTAATAAGTGATATGTTACACTTAACAAGCAGTACATTTCGAATTTTAATTGTTGTAATATGTTTTCTTCGGCATCTCTTCACGTCTGACGACATTAGATGGGTTTCCTGGTGAGACCGTCACGTGACAATAACAGAATTTGCGCATGCGCAGTTTACTTGGGACACGCACGTCGCGTTTTATATTTAGAGGAGCCAAAAAGAAAAACAACTACGTTGCAGTTTGCGATATTCTTAAAAAGTTGTGAAGATCCGAGGTTTTTTTTTTTTTAGATATACTTTACTTACTTGCAAATGCGAACATTCGGGGGTGAACGTTCACGTATAACGAATGCGTCCGAGCTAATGCTAAAGGTTTCTAGCTAACAGGAAGCATGTGTGGGCTTGACAGATTTAGTTATCGACTATAACACAGATTTTGTTATCGACTATAACAACAACTTTTAAGTAAATGACACGGGGTTAGACTATACGTCTGGTGAGTAAAATGGGACGGAAGAAACAGAGCAGGTTTGTGCGCCCTGACAACAAGGGAAAAGACAAACGACACAAAGTGAAAGGGAAAACTTTAGAGGCTTTTACAGAAGAAATGCACTCTGCAGTGGAAGGTAAACATGCATGACAAACAGTTTTACATTGTGTGCATTACATTTTTTTGAGGGGCGGGGGCTTCTAGTTGCATAAGAATAGAATATCTTTACTAACCATGTCTGTCAATTAATAATCTTCTATTATATTCTGTTTTGTCTCTTGACAGCAAGTCTTCACAGAGAGGAGGAAGGAGCAGAGAGCCCTCAAGTGAAGCTACCTTGTCCTCTTGCCATGTGGGAGCTGGGCCACTGTGACCCCAAACGTTGCACAGGCCGAAAGCTGGTCCGCAAGGGCTTTGTACGCAACCTGCGCCTCAATCAGAGGTTTAACGGACTCATTTTGAGTCCCATGGGTACAAAGTATGTGACACCAGCTGACAGGTATGTCATGTGTCGTCCTGGCATTGTTCACATCGCAGTAGAGTGTACTTTGTTTTGAATTATGAAATGAATCAAATGTTTCTTTTCATTCACAGGGAGATCGTGGCCCAGAACGGGCTGGCAGTGATTGATTGCTCTTGGGCCAAGCTGGAAGAGACGCCCTTCAATAAGATGGTCGGAAGTCATCCGCGCCTGCTGCCTTACCTCGTCGCTGCCAATCCGGTCAACTACGGGAAGCCTTGCAAATTATCTTGTGTTGAGGCTTTTGCTGCCACTTTTTCTATCGTGGGTAAGGCTTGTGTGCAACCTTTGTGTCGCATTTTCAGAGTGACTCAAACTCAACACATCCTGTTTTAATGTCGCCAGGTTTCGAGGAACTGGCCGCACTCTTGTTGAAGAAATTCAAATGGGGGACTGTGTTCCTGGAGCTCAATAAAGTTCTGCTGAAGCGCTATGCTGCCTGCCAGTCAGAGGAAGAGCTGCTCACTGTCGAAAAGGACTTTCTCACCACGAAACCAGAGGAGGAGGAAATTGGTAAAAAAAAAAAAAAGTGGCAGGGGTTTGAATTTGCAATGTGGGCTTTATTTATGTGTGGGGTTTGATGTCTTTGTAATCATTTGCCCGCCTTTGAATTTTCAGTGCACCCTGGCTGAATTTTCACGACAGGCAGCAGTTTGGCAGATGGTGAATAATTGCTTCAAAAAACTGGCTTCAAGCTGTTTACTGCCACTCCCTTTTGAAGTTTACAGTCAAATTAAACATAACCCACAGAGAATTACAGTTGAGATTAATCTAGTCATTTTTTTTTTCATTCAAACAACACCAAAAGAACATGACGTATTTATCAACAAAGCTGCTTTTCACATCCACGCTTTTGTTATTGTGGGAACCTTGGTTTTAAATTAAGCCTCTTGTTTGCAGATCCGTTTGATGTCAACTCAGGAGTGGAATGTATGAATCTCAACAGACGTCACTGGTGAGCCTCTTGTATTTCATTTGGGGGCATCTTTTAATTATATTTACGTTGATAAATGCTGTCATTAGAGGCCAAGACTCTTAATCCAATTTAAAAATGATGCCATTTGCTCCTTTGGAACAGTGACACGCAACCTTTATGAAACGCAGGCACCCATTTAAAAAAAAAAAAAATCTTATGGCACACCAACCAACAACAAAATGTCACCAAACGTGGAAGTACTTCAATAATAATGCGTACAGGTCAATTGTACCTTCTGCCATCTAGTGGAAGATCATTTCAATGTTTTGCCTGTCCGCACATCGCCGGCCTAGATGGATGAATGAAGTGCATTGTCTGGAGTGAATTCAGTAATTTTCAAACCAGAGAAGTAAAAGAGTATCAGTTCTCGCACACTGATGGTTAGGAATTACTGCTATAGTTTAGAGTATCCAGGAACAGTTTTGTGCTCTCTGCTTTCCATTTTATTTTTGAATTTTTCTCCCTTTAGGGAACCTGATGAGGATTGTAGCGAGGGCACTGACACATCAGAGGATGATGTTGATGATGACGACAACGACGACGATGATGATGATGACGACGACGACAACAACGATGATGAAGCGGAAGATGGAAAAAAAGAACGATGAGTCAGAAAACGTCTCACACAGAGATGAAGTGGCAGCAGCAAAGTCGTCACAATAAAACAGATTTAAACTTGATTATTGTCAGGACTGGTGACCCATTATGGAAGCCTCAAACGCTCATAAATGTTTAACATGATAAAAAGTACATTTTGGCTAGTTTGTATGTCCTTTGTAAATTATCTTTACTGTTGTTGTATGTACAATAACAACACTGTTATTGTACATAAATAGAAAGTATCTGTACTTGAGAATTTATTTGTTTGATGTTTTCCTTTTACTCCCGACATTAGAAACTAGTATTGGGCTTTCTCGACCTTAATCACCTTTGACACTGTAAAAAAAAAAAAAAACGGGGAACTTTTTGATGTCACCTGGAAGAATAATTTGTGGAAAATGTGTTGTTTGTGCTCGCCGAAAATCCACCAGCTTCTCTCTTTAACAATTCTCACTACAATCTGATAAAAACGTACTGCTGAAACATATGTTTTTCAGTTATGATAAGCCTATTTAGCATTTTTGTTCGTCAGAGTGACTCACCGTGGCGAGTCTGGAGACCCATGATGGGAAAAGCCAAAAGTTGTAACAACAACAATACAGTGTGGACTGCACCATTTTTGCGGTTCGGCATTCGTTGATTTCGTATTGGTGAATTATTTTTATCCTCCAGTATTTTTTCCTCCCATTTTTTTCTGCACGATTTGGAAGGAGGATCGCTTATTCGCGGATTTTCTTCAAGCGAATACCGAGTCCACTGTAATTAGCAAAGCTACGGGAACACGTTGTTTGTTAGCTTCATACCCTGTGCCAGTTATAGTCACTTATTTATAAAAGACAAACAATTGTTTTAATTGCGCCGAGTTAGCCAAACGAGTATTGTTTATAATTGACAGTAAAATGCATTGAATTACTTTTGTATTCGGGTACATCTCAATTTTGTGGAATCAATCTGTCTACGTTTACCTGAGTTTTTTTTTTTTACAGAATTTGTTATTGTATTTTTTCACCCAAAGTACAAAATGAAAACAACCTCTGCCGCTTTGGGGGTATTTTTACACTTCAACGTGGGGAAATTTAAATTTTCCCACCGCTTCATCTGGTTGTTTTTAACGGAAACCGCGGTCATTAAATGCAGCATTTTGCTACTACTATCTGGCAGCGTCATGAGGAAGACTGGCTTTTATACGCCGCGTGCAAATTAGTTTTATCTAAAAATAAATTGCATGTCGTTTTCTGGCGTCTGACGGAGTCTTTCCAGTAATGTGAAGTTGAGTGTTGTACTGTAAATGTGGCGAGGGGGGCGGACACAGCGGGACTCTGCTGTCCTGCGGTAACATTGTTGTGGAACGACGTCACAGCTCGAAAATGAAGGCGCAGAGGCAGCCATTACCGGAGCTTCTCTAATTATTTTATTCCAAATAAATACTCGAGGAAAACTCCCATGGCAAGAGCAACAAGTCAGCTGGTGAGTGTCGTCGCTTCGACACGGAGCACACTACGAAGCCGGCGGCCCAAACGTGGCGTGTGGCGGCTGTTTGACAACAACTAGTTAGGTCGGGCCTTCGCTGGAAGAGCGCTAGCTTAGCCGCAGAGCTCGTTCGAACGTTAAGACCTCATAGCGCCGCTACCCCGGCTAATTCAGGCGAACGACAGCGACATTGGCCAAAATTATTTGGCTTCGTTGAGACCTCGGTTTGACCCGCGTGGGTGCTGTGCACGAGTGGGGTTTGTGTTAAATTATAACCGACACGAAGCTGTTATCTGTGCTGGTCTGTATCAGTCGGCTAATGCTAAGCTAAGCTGCTTCGCGCTTTCAATGTTAACTCTGGCTGTCAATTCAATGTGGTGCACAAGTCAACGACAACACGTTAACTCTCATTCTGTCTGACAAGCAACATGATGAAAATATGTGAAGGCGGTGGGGTGGATTTTTTTATTTTTTATTTTTATTTTTTTTTGTAGTTGCAACACCTTGAGCTAATTTGCTGGCTGTTACCGCAAGTTTGTAACTCACTGTCAGCCAGTGCGGCTTGACAAGGTTGCCCGAGAAAGTTCACATTAGGCCCCGGTGCAGCCGGATTGATCCCGTCGGTGTGCTATTGGGATCTGGCTTTAACTAGCAAATATGACGCGGTGGATTTACGGAGAATGAGTCAGGGCGTAGTTGCTCAGTGTGAGCCGGGTGAGAGGATAAAAAGCGGATGAATAGCCACACCTTGGTTGTGAATAAGATAAAAGCTAGGCCGAGGGAAGCAACAAACGTTTAGGGAGTTGTAAACGTGTTGTGCGTGTTATTGTTGGCTCCAAAAGACTCTGGAATTTACAACCTCGCACTGTTTTGTTGGCTTGGGGTGTGAAGTGATGACGATGGCTGGGTTTCGTTCAAGTGGAAAAGGTCGTCAAACTTTTACCATCTCTAAAATACTTGTCTCTCCAAATGCCACCAACATGACCACCCCCAGAATACAGAGCTGAAAGGTTTTGAGGAGGGGGAGGAAATCAAGTTTTCTGGCAATACATTGATCACTCATGATTTACATTAACGGCACGCTTGTTCGTTGGAATTTTGTGAATTTGTTGCTTCAAAGACTGCAAGTCCAAGTGGAGGTGAGCAGATTTACCTGAAGTAGATGAATAATCTGTCCTTGATGTGCTCACGGGTTGTTTGCTTTTATATTCGCCTTGCTAAATAGAGCAAAGCAATTGTGGAATATTTTATTGTGTGTTTTGGTACAGATTAATGTATTGCCGCTGAAAAATCCACGACAAAAGAAACTAATATCATACTAAATCACGGTCGTTATACCGAGAAGGAGCGGAAGTTGCAATAAACCTCTTTATTACAAACGCATGTCAAAAATGGTGGTGGTTTCTGTGGGTCTGGAACAAACCACTGGCATTTCAATGTATTTCAAGGAAAAAAAAAAAAAAGATTTGCTGTACCATTAAATTGTGTTACAAGCTCGGTCACTGGAGCAATTCCAGTCTGAAGTCAAGGGTCCCACTGTGTACTTTCTGATTCCACTCCATCACGCCGCTGACTCACGTTTTCTTTCTTCTCCCAGTATGATGTCGTGCCTATCCAGCCCAGCGTTGTCATTTGTTCCCGCTCGCATCCATCAATGGTAAGGAACCACCCTGACTTAAGCAGCAGCCACTGTCCCGGCATGGAGGGCTCGCCCTCGGAGGCCCGTGCTGTCGGAGCGTCTGCCAGCGGCCAGGGCTCCGGCCTCCGTGCGCAGAAGGTGGCTCAGGTGCCGCAGCCTCGCAAGAAGAAACCGGAGGACTTCAAGTTTGGCAAGATACTGGGAGAGGGCTCCTTCTCGACGGTACGTGTGAATAGATGGATTTATATGGCGCATTCCTTTTCACTTTTTTTTTTAATTCGACTTGGGTAACTGTTGCTACATGCTAGCATTCCTCTGATTAATGCTCTTGGATGAGTCATCCTCTTGAATTACAGACTTTTTTTTTTTCCCCGTCCCTTTTGAAGGTTGTCCTAGCAAGAGAGCAGGTAACTGGCAAAGAATATGCAAGTAAGTATGACTATATTGCAGATGACTCCCAAGTCGCTGTGTGTGTGTTTATTCTTGTACTCTGTCTGCGTTGAAGTTAAGATCTTGGAGAAGCGGCACATCATGAAGCAGAACAAAGCCCAGTATGTGAAAAGAGAACGGGATTTGATGTCAAATCTCGACCACCCCTTCTTTGTCAAACTCTTCTTCACATTTCAAGACGACGATAAGTTGTGTATCCTTTTCACTTCAGTATTCATTGTTGGGGTGAGATCCTGTACGCCTGGACTTGTACTCACGAGAATGCTCCGATGCTACGACCCCCAATACCACTTCACCACACGCCGCTATTCTGTCATCCCTGAGTGCGTGGCATGTTGTTTGTTCCTCAGAAAGAGCGTTCTTCCTTCAAGCTGTTGACCAACAGCCCCAGTTCAAGTTTCAAGAAAAACTGACACAAAATAAAGGGAATTACACATTGTAAATGGAAGCAAGCACATCATTATTTGCTTGCTTTTTAATGACAGAGTTTTGTGGTTGACTTTTTTCCTTAACTCGGATTTCTCAGATTTCGGTCTCAGCTACGCAAAGAACGGCGAGCTCCTAAAATACATTCGCAAAATTGGCTCATTCGATGAGACCTGCACTAGATTCTATTCGGCGGAAATTGTTAGCGCGCTGGAATACTTGCACAATGTGGGAATTATCCACAGGTACGTATTGAAGCCTTCGCCCGTTTCTTTGCCTTTCTCTCCATCGCGGTTCTGACTGCTCTGCTTCCTTCCAGAGATCTGAAACCAGAGAATATTCTTTTGAGCGAAGAGATGCATATCCAGATAACAGATTTTGGGACAGCAAAACAGTTGTCATCGGACAGCAAGCAAGGTACATTTCCGTCCGTCCGTCTCCGTATAATACACTCGGTGTGTTTCAAATGTTCTCACGCTTGTTTTGCAGCGAGAGCCAACTCCTTTGTCGGAACAGCACAGTATGTTTCTCCGGAGCTGCTAACAGAGAAATCAGCCTGCAAAAGGTAATTGACTGACAGGAATATCTTTTTTTGCTTACGAGTTACATAACAGTATTTTTATTTATATAGAAAACTTTTTTTTTTTTTTATTTTAAGCTCTGACCTCTGGGCATTGGGATGTATAATCTATCAGCTGGTGGCTGGTTTACCACCGTTCAGAGCTGGGTAAGTGACCCCCCCCCCCCCATTTATTGCTGTCATGATAAAAAAATAAAACGGCAAGAGCAGAACGAGTAAAATGTCATCTATTTTGCCCCTCATAGAAACGAGTACTTAATATTCCAGAAGATAATAAAGCTGGAGTATGAATTCCCTGAGAAATTCTTCCCCAGAGCCAAGGATCTTGTCAAACAGCTATTGGTAAGTCCTTACAGATCACTTGTAATAGATTGTAGGAGCAGTAAAATATGTTAAACCCCTTCCTCTCCCCCCTCCACCTGAAATAGTCACTGGACCCGTCAAATCGGATTGGCTGTGAAGAGATGGGTGGCTACGACCCTTTGAAACAACACCCCTTCTTTGACAACATCTCCTGGAGCGACCTGCACTTGCAGACGCCCCCCAAACTCACCCCTTACCTGCCCGCCATGTCTGAGGACGATGAGGACTGCTACGGAAACGTACGATTGTTGTCCATCAGCGTGTGTGGAATCAAGTCGCGAGTTAAAAAAAATAATAATAAAACAACGGCAATGTCATTTTGTCCGCGTAGTACGATGACCTCCTGAGCCAGTTCAGCAACATGCAGGTGGCCCAGTCCAGCTCGTCGCACTCCCTGTCGCCGCACGAGTCGACGCCGCCGCAGCGCTCGAGTAGCAACATCGAGCAATACATCCACGACCTGGACAACAACTCCTTTGAGCTCGATCTGCAGTTCACCGACGAGGAGAAGCTCCTGCTGCTGGACAAACAAACCTCTGGAAATCCGTGGTAAGTCAAGGCCGCGTCCAGTCTTGGAAATACGAGCGCCGTCCTCGGAAAGACTCCGGCATACGAGCAGATTGCCGTGTTAGTTGCAAAATTGGCTTTGCGGGTTGTCCCGTCTGCAAATTTTGCTGGCCGTACAGTGAACGAACATTTGTTTTTATTCTAATGTCACCCAGGCACCAGTTTGTGGAAAACAACCTGATTTTAAAAATGGGTCCAGTGGACAAACGAAAGGTGAGTGCGGCTGGCTGCATATTTTCTTTGCTGGTGTTGTGTGACAATGCACTTTAGCGTTTGTTACTCGGGGCAGTAAGTTCACTTTTTAAAAAATTTTTTAATAGTAGCGCTCAACTGAAACCGCTTTCCGTTCCAGGGTCTGTTTGCCCGACGGAGACAGCTGCTCCTCACCGAAGGACCACACCTGTACTATGTGGATCCCGTCAACAAGGTCCTGAAAGGAGAAATCCCTTGGTCACTAGAATTACGCCCCGAGGCCAAGAACTTCAAAACCTTCTTTGTTCATACGGTACGCACGACTACGACTGAATGACTCAAGTATAAAATTGGAATATACAACTTTGGATATTCTACGGCAAGATTACTTTATCTAGAATAATCATGATTTTTTTTTTTAAAACGCAAATTTAGGCAAGTTCAGCCCCCAAAAACCGGTCCTGAGTTAATTTTCTGTGTTTACACTCATGAAAACAGCACAGTAGGCTCACAGGACAACCATGACTTAGAAAAAAAGGAACAGTGCACTTTAGCGCATGACAGAGCTTGTTTTGTTTTTTTGAGTCTGGACCCGCCGCACTGCGCACGTGGAGCAATGCCGAGCAAAATCGGTACCCGGGATTTCCTCATCCGTTGAGCAGCATTGTTATCCGTGTTCTTTAAGTATCACGACACACACAGGGCCAACATGGCTCTTAGCGCAAGATTTTAGTCAGGCTGGCAGAGTGGTATCGGTACGTTACGGTATTGGGGGGAATTTTTCTCCCAACGATGCATCACTATTTCTAATGACGAGTGTTTCTGTTCCTCGCTGTCATTCCAGCCTAACCGGACATACTATTTGATGGACCCTAGCGGAAATGCCGACAGATGGTGCAAGAAGATCCAGGAAGTGTGGCGAAAGATCTATCAAAGACACCAAAATCCCAGTCTATAGGAGCGCTCCCACTTCCTCCCGTGGCCGACCCGCTTGAGCTCGGGGGGCCAATCACTGAGCAGAGTAACACCCTCTTTAGTGCCCTTCATCACCGCAGTGTAAACAAACTCTTTACAGACGCTGGCATCGAAACCTTGTTTGTTTTACTGAGTAGAATCATTGGGGGGGTGGGGTGGGGGGGGGGACGACAACTTTGGATTCAGGGTTGCTTTGCTTGTTCTTTGTGCTCGGTGTGAGGCTTCTGTTATCATCAAGTCCCGCCAAGCACATCTGCTTTTTTTGTTTTGTTTGTTTGTTTTTTGGTACATTCTCAACGCAAAGTGAAAAAGGCAAGCTGGGCAGTGGGGGGGACCACGAGGGCGCTCTCTCTTCCCCTCCCCTTCCCCAAATCCGAGGACTGGTTTCCTGATATACCGTAAATATTAATTCATGTGAATCCCAGAGTCTCATCCAACCATATCCTAAACCTGCGTCCTACGTGCAAGATGTAGACAGCCAGCCCCCCCCCCCCCCCCCCTTTTTTGTCGAATGAATTTAGTCCCATAGCTGTACCGGCTCGCGTACGCTCGATTCAGTCTGGCGCATTTACCAAACTCAAAATGTATTTTTGTAAGAGCCCGTGTATTTCCACAGTATTTGAGTTGTTTTCTTCAAACCCAGTGGTACTTGCGCATGGTGGTCCAATCAGATTCCGAGCAGGTCGAAGCATGAGCCTTTCATAGCCGTGAGTGACGGAGGAGGCGGGTAAACATGCCACTAGCTTGTACTTGCGAATCATAAAACTCGCTTCCCTTTTCCTGCATGGCCAGTTGTGTAGCGCAGCCTTGTTCCTCTCTCCTAAGGGCACTGATGATACTACAGTAGTTTATTCAAGTTTTTTAAAAGGTGGGTATTTTATTTTTTTTTGACTGCATTGGCAACCATAGCAAATGTTACTGGATGATTTGGCTGTTCTGTTCACTTTGCTATTTCTTTGTGATGTGAATTTCTTTTCTTTTTTTTTCTTTTTCTTTTTTTTTGTGGGATTGTTTGCGCGTCTTCAGTGCATCCTGTTGAAATACGAAAAATCCTACGTGCTGACCAGAAAATCCTCATCCAACAGAGATTATACATGAAATTATCGCTCTTTGAAGCAATCGCAGGTTTCTCCAGATCGCTGGACGGACACACACGCACACCCTCACATTCAGCTCCAGTAGAACATAAAATGAGTTAAGATCCTCTTTTTTTTTATGTGTGTGTGTGTGTGTGTGTGATCATAATGCTTTTAATTTTTGACAGATTACCTTCAGGTCCCCCCCCCCCACCCTCCACCCCTCTTAAAGGCCCTCCTCCTCCTTTTCGCTGAGTCTGAGTGCAGTGTGTGACTGGAATATAGGTGAAAAGGGCCCAGGGGCTGAGTGTGCGAGGATATCTTTATCTGATCCAAATAAGCGATAAAATTGCTGTATCTGTCTATTAAAAAAAAAAAAAAAAAGTGGAGGAAACACTCCAGAAGTGTTGGCCTCCTCCGCGCAGAGAATTTGTCAGAATCAAATCAATGGCGGTCGGTTACATGGTGTATGGAAAACACTCTACCTGGCTTGTAACTGACGAGAACTGTGATGTACAGATATTGTATTATTAAAATCTGAAGCAAGTAATGCAATGACATTAGGATACAGTTTTTTGTATTTTTATTCTTGTATAAGGTTATTAGAGGGCTATTGTTCAGCCTCTAGTTCATTCTGTGTTATTTAAATTCTAATATATGAATCATATTTGGATTGAAGTCATGTTCAGGGGCCATGTTGTGTATGTTTTGAGATGTAAAGCCTTTGAATGTGAATAATTATTGTAAACTATAATATTTTACAGCTTTTTTTCTTACTATATCATACATTTTCTATTTGCTCGGTGATTTAATCAGATTCCGATGATAATTTAATGAATTTGTTCATTCTCTCGCTGATTTATTTGTGCGCTAGGTCAGTAGCTGTTGAATGACGACTTTTCCACTTAATGCTTGGTAGTCCAGTAATTGAAGCATGTAGGGAATTTAGGCATACGAAGAAAGCCATGTGTCTTGTCTTCTGTTAAGTCGCAGTCCCTGCACGGGGAAAGATGCAGCGTTTTACTGGCCGTGGCTTCTCACATCCTGCAGCATGTAAATAAAGTATCAGCCCACCATCTGTGTGTTGTTGTTTTGTTTTTGTTTTTTTTGGTCTTGTGCAAATTACGACTACGGGCTACTCTTGGTTTAATGCAATTGTGTGTGACGCCGTGGCAGAGCGTTTGGGCGTTAATTCGTTATCCAGCTTAAATTCCATGTACGAGGACACGCTGTCCTCCCTTGCGGGACAGCAAACGTGCACAAATTGACAACTCATTTGTATAATCGTGATTTAAGATAAGAAAACATTTGTCTCACAATGGAGAAATTTAAAATGTGATTATTTTAATGTCCATGTATTTTTTTTTGAAAAACAAGAAATAAAGACAGTTAATTTACTTTATTAGAGTTAGTTAATAGTCTGAATACTTTTGTTATCCTACTTTGTCTTACTAGTCGTGACAAAGGGCATGCAGTACTTGTACATGGAAGATGCACATCAGTGAACTTGGGTGTGCTCTCGGCATCATTCATAATTAAGGATACTAGTGGGATATGTTTGAAGACTTATCGAAAATCTTAGTCGTGACAAAGCGGGTACTGGTTCATGAATCTTTAACTGGATGGCAACTTAGGCTGCTGGAAAAAAAAAACATGGAATATGCGATATGGGTGCTGAATATGAAGAAATGACGTAAATTACGAAAAAAAAGATGCAGCAAAATAAGAGGAAGTCATTTCCATACAGCACATTGGACCCTGAGGGAACGGGGAGAGAAAATACATGTCATCTCTCCAGACATCACCGCGAACGTTTCCAGCGGAGCGTCTCGCGTGGAATCATGCATGCGTGCATTCGAGTGTGAGCTTGGGGTGGAGTGAGGGAGACCGGAGTGGGGTTATTCGTGGGAGTGGCCGGGACTTCGCGTGAGGAGAGCTAGCCAAGCGGCTGCAGGCAGCTCGTGAGATTTCCCGTCAGCCTCTGGGCAAAAACAGCGGAGGCGAAGGCGAAGGCGAGGGCTACGGAGACGACGCGAGGGCGAGGGATGGCGGAGAACAACTCGGAAAGCAGCGGCTCCGTTCACCGCCGGTGTTTGAGTCATTCTTCGGCGGAGAGAAGCCCCCCGCCCGGTGCGGGCTCGTCTAAGTGGATTCGGCTAAATGTCGGCGGGACCTATTTTTTAACAACCAGACAGACCTTGTGTCGAGATCCCAAATCGTTTCTTTACAGGCTGAGCCAAGCGGACCCGGAGCTCGATTCGGACAAGGTAAATGCTAAGCTAAGTAGCACTTGGCACTGCACTTGGCTGTGTGGGTTTTTACTTTTCGATGAAAAAAAATGCAGTTATTGAACAGAGACGTTTTTGACGTAGCCAATCTCATAGTTTAACTCGATTATATATTATTTCAAATAACGAGCGTAACGTAACCCCCCCCCCTTCTCCAGCTAGCTTGCATTAGCTCACAGGCTAGATTCCAACAGTCACCCACATGATGTGTACATTCTCTTGGCGTCTTTGGGGGCTATTTTAAAATATATAAGTTAATTTCATGTAGTTTCTGAGTGTCATTTCTAAATGTCGACCAACCCGTGTCGTTTGAAAAGCCTTTTCGTTTCATTTGTATATTGTGATCATGTCGAACTGCAAACTTTGTCCCGTCGAGGCCGTTGCATTGCGTTGCTCCCGTCGACCTAATTGGAACATTTTCTCAACCAAGATAGCAAATTATTTCCTTAAAACGATAAGGAGATTCTTACCACCGTTGTGCACTCTTTCATATAGTTTGTCTTAAGGGTGCTGTCTGATTTGTGCTTGACGTTTATTCGAATTTCGTCGTCTCATTTTCTCTTTTCAACTTTCAAAGGGTGTCAGAAAAGTTGCAGGACTGGTGTCACAAAAAGATACAATAGTAAGAGTCTTTGTATCTTTTGTTAATTCTGCGTGTGAAAAAAAGGTGAGAGTTGTGGCCTGAGCATCCAATTGTGTCTGTCCACAAAGAATTAGGTCGAACGAGCTCAGTGTGACTTTTTTTTCCTCCAAATTATTATTCAATTCCTTTTACCAAGATGAAAGTGGTCCACAAAGGAACCCGTTTCAAAGAAATGGACAGCATCATGGTGGCCCTTGACGACGACGACGATCCAGGAAGAATCCTTCAAGTGAGCTCTGGATGTGGGTGAGAAAGCTGTAAAAAGCATGTTAGACTCCAGTGGGATCACTTTGATGAAAAATGGTTGTAGTTTGGATTTAAAATCATCTATTTTTTGTGACACCGGTCCTGGAACTTTTTTGAGACTGTAAGTCATCCGCAAATAGCCACACACTTGAACTGATTTCATTTTATGCTTTTTTGGGGGGGTGGGCAGTCTATGGTGTACTGCATTCTTTGTTAGCCTTAAGCTAACACAATTTGGCCAACTAGGTTATCAGGTGATAGGTTAACTAAATCATGTGTGCTATTTTCTGTACTTTTCAAGACTTAAACTCATTTTAAGGGAGGGGAAAAAAAACAAACATTTTTTACAAGACTTGTAATGCTTGTTGGGATGGATTAAAGAACAGAGCATTGTGTGTCCTGCGGGCCATACGTCAGCCCCGCTATAAGGGGTGCCCCATTGGCCCCACAGCAAGCAGCCAGGGTGGCAAGGCGCCCAGCATGAGTAAGAAGTCGTTGCCAAGTGGGGTGAGGTGCTGCTGGGGATGAAGTCACTCCTCTCTCCCTGAATGGCCTCCACATGCTCCACGAGCAGCAGAAGGAGGAGGGGAGTATGTTTGTGCATCTGCCGGTTTTTGAACAGCAAGCCGCCTGTGGGCTTTCAAGCCCGCCGAGCAACCGTCAAACACAATGAATTAGTGTCCACATACACTGCGCGACACACTTTTGTATACGTTGCTGCTGCTTCAACACCTCTCTGATGGTTTGTGTTCATCTACTTTTATAATCTGCCCTACTTTGCACCCAACGGAGGCCGCGGCTCATCTTGCATTTTAATGCCAATATTTTAATCTCTCAATAATCGGCTTGCTTTTTGGTCTGTTTATCCTTCAATGAGCTTCGGTTCACGTCAATTTTGTGCCTTAAGTGCGTGACAGAGGACCCTCGAGCCATTACCGTCCCGCTCACGTGAGTGCCGCTTTATTTCGGAGCGCGCCGGTTATGCGAAAGGTGATCTTTTGCGGCTTTTTTCTTAAAATATAAACGTCAAACATGGAGAGTGGTTGGGAAATACACATGTGCGCAAGCTACAAATTTAGGTACAAGACACAAGAGCCTGATTGAAAAGTTTGCCTTGAGCAAGATAGTCATGCTCCGTTTTTGTCGTTGCACAAGTATTTGTTCTCAGCAAGCAATGACACGTTTGTTTGGTTTTTTTTTTATAAAACTCGCTGGTCAACTAGCGGCTAACGTTAGTCCGGAGCAATATGCGCCACCAAACTGCGCGTGGACTGTAGCGATGTCAAGAAAATTGTAAGTAATATGCTACAAGAAATAGCATCCATCTTTCCAGGTGGTAGAAGGTGACTTTATATTTATTTTGATTTTACTGGGACTTTATTGTTGTTGCTGGCGAGTATTTTTGCAAAGCGCTGTGCCGTGGACGTGACAAAGAAGTGGAGCCGCGTGACAGATTGGATCCAGCCTCCCCCAATCTCAAGTAAAAGCGGCATTGTGTTTGTGTTTCAGCTAAGGAGAGGAGAGCTTCATTTCTCAGTCATGCATACTGACACGCTTCCGCTGTACTCTTAAAACTGCATTATTCATGTTGTTGACTGGAGTCTGTTTTGCACGTGGGGTTGGACCCGGGGAGAAAGTGCTATCACGTGCCAGGTCAGAACCGTCGGCACTCATTTATTTCTAAGTCTGGCATTGAATTCCAAGAGTCATAAAATGACTTGCTGTCACATCTGGGCAATTTTGTTGTCAGCATTTGTGTGTCTGTGTGTCTTAAGAACCCAACCAGAAGTGATCATAAGCTCAGGTTCAAGGTGCACGTCGCGGATCATTTTTGGCCGACTCCTTTCAGACCTCGGCGTTCTTGCTCTTGAGAGCTACATGAATTTTTCAGGGAGGCCCATCACAAAAGCTTCGCGCTTCTCCGAACCTCTTCATTTACCGCCGAGCTCTTCCGCGTGGATGAGAAACGCGGCTGCTTCGAATGCTGAATTCTGGTTGCGCGTCGTACCCGAGCGCAGTACGGGCAGCGGCGTAAATATTCATCGCAGTATTATGACACAAAGGCAGGAAATGGGCAAGCAATAAAGCGGAGTGTAAATACAGTCATGATCGCCCCCAGCATTGACGGCGCTCGTGCATTTCCGAAACGGAGTCTCCCCACCATTTGCTTTATAGCCGCGGGCACAAAGGAAATGTTTATTCTAGCGCAGACATGGGCAAACTACGGCCCGCGGGCCGGATCCGGCCCGTTGGTCTTTTTAATCCGGCCCGCCGAAGGTTGGTACAGTACACAATTAAGGTTCGATGTAAATTATTGCATTCATTTCATTTGGACTTGTAATACAGGCATTTAAACGCCAGGTGGCGCAGTTACTTGAAGTCGCAGAGCACAAGGAGGGAGGGGGAGACGATACGGAAGCCCGGAATAGCACTAACTCAAGTGAGTCGCGCTCGATACGACGAAATAGATGTATCCCCACCGCTATTTTCTGTCATTGGATCCCAAACGGCGACATGCAAGCGACTCTTTGTTGCAGTGAGTTTTACTGGAATTGCGAACATTTTTACATCCTTTATTAGAGCATGGCATCCAAACAAAGAGGAGCGGTAATGGCCGCGGAAGAGAAAATGAAGTGTATCTCATTAAACAAAGTAGGTTACGAAGTACGAAACATTCAGGACACGCTTGGAGTCTGGAAGACTCAAATCTACGAGACTTTGTAAAACGAGGAAGCGATTCTTGCTCAGTCCGATTCGGGCTATTTCCATGCTCAGAGTGAATTGCTTGCGGCTCGACGGACAGTCCAGTAAATGAACGTTTCCTGAAATGGCTTGACTGTTATCGTGCTCGAGGGGAGGTCGAATTCGAGACAGTGAGTGAGTGGAAAGAAAGCCACCAGGTCTTTTACTCGTCTCATTTTGGAGCAAATAGTCCTACCTTTGTTATATTTTCTCATATACTGTACCTGTACTGTATGCCGCAGTTTTTGGACAATATATTGTTGCACTTTGTTGCTTGTGTTGTCACCAATGTATGTTGTTAACATACCGTACTTGGACGTTCATACCGGACATATACCAGTTATCTCACTGTTCTCATGAAAAAAAGTATGGTAATACTTGAATGCTTTTGTTCTGTTGATGTTTGGTATGGATTGTCAACATATACGTTTTTTTATATGTACCATATCTTGTGCTGACCCGGCCCACCTGTCAAATTTAGAAATCAAGATGGCCCCCGAGCTAAAAAGTTTGCCCACCCCTGTATCTAGCGCGTATTAACTCGTGACCAATGGTTGGCTTCTCATGCAAACTGCGGGAAGAACCCTGCAGTCTGCATGACGGTCAAACTAACTTTGTATCAAGAAGAGATACAAAACAGGAATCCAGTTTCTTCCAGGTCATCATGACTGCAGAGTTTCTCGAGGGCTTCAGGAGGGAAATGTTCCTTGATATAACGCGCGACTGTGAAAATGGGCCTCAGCAGCCTTGAAAAGGGGAGCCTTGCACTCAAAGCGCTGTTTTAATATTTTGCAAAGTCTGAAAGCGTTTCTTATAAAGCCGCCTCGGTGCGATGCCTGTATTATTTAAAGGATGAAGGCCTATTTGACGATGCCATTACCGCTTCTATTCCAGGGGGGATTCTGCCCCCCCACACTACAAGGCTTCGACTTCCACTTGGCTAAGTAGCTGCAGTCATGTGACTCGGCGCTCCGCTGCAATGTCTTGAAACGTTTGCTCCTGGTGCCGTTTGCTCTTCTCCCGCAATGAGTGTCGAGGCGTTATTTCTGTCCGTTCCCGGGGCGGCGGCGTATAAAGGCTTTCCTTTTAATAGTGTTAATTGTGTGCGCAACGTGACACGATGACATGTGAATTGAGGGTTGTCTCCAGATGGCTCTTCTCGACATCATGTGCTCGCCACGCGTGGCGGCGCTGCTGCATGTGTGCGATGGGGTGCGGTCTCGCCCTCTTTCTCCACCCCCCCCTGTGGCCCGATCGCAAAAATCAACCATGTAACCTGGCTGACCCGCACTAAACTGACCTAATTCTCCTCCTTGGGTGTTGACACGTTTTCATAATAATCTGCCATATCTGGTTTTAGCTCAAAAGCCGTGCCAGTGTCGCATCCATCGCGACGCGGCGTCGCCATGTCTGCATCAGAGCCCCCCCTGAAACTGCGGGGACCGCTCACGGCACCCCGCAGGAGCCGCTTGTAGTGTGCCGAGGGGTTTCCAGCGACTGCACGCAACAGCGGCTTCGGCGCGGCACTCGTACAGAGGGAAAAAAATTGGAATCGACAAACAGACGTGCGGGTCAGCTCCAACTAAAGTGACGAGAGATCCCAAATGGCAAAAGTGAGCACGGAGCCAGAATAGAAGTCCGTTGGGCTCTGGTGGGATATTTTTGACTCTGGAAAGAAGGTCAACCTGCCATTAGGGTTTTCATTATAAAAGAACACGCGTCGGGCCCTTTTCCCATAATTGGACGGATAATATGAACGCGGCGCCAGCAATGAGGCCCCGCATGAGTGCTTGCGTGATTTTTGGGTTTTTGCTGTTGACTTCTCGAAGTAAGTGAAAAGAGAGCTGAAGTCCTGCAACTCAACTGGAGCCGTAAATGTTTGTGTGCTGGCAGGCGCAAGTCTGAAAGGGAAAGTTCCCCCCCAGCCAGCCTAATCGCAGGACTGACTGAACTAGGGGAATGCCCGGCGGTTGTCAAGCAATCCGGGTCAAATCCAAATCCTGTGGGAATAGTCAAGTGGTGCTCCAAAGCTCGGGGCGCGCACGTCCGCTCGAGAGATTATGAAGGCCGGAGGTGACCTCAGCAAATCCCCTCTTGTGTTTTGAGTCGCACGAGGATGCTTGTGAAATCCGCAGCCTTCAAAAGTGGAAGAAATAACGGTGGCGCTGGTATTCCTGCTCTTCCTTTCAGGATGAAACCGGTGCCTATCTCATTGACAGAGACCCAACTTACTTTGGGCCGGTGCTCAACTACTTGAGGCATGGCAAGCTGGTGCTCAACAGGGACTTGGCAGAAGAAGGTAACTAAGACATATCGCGGCCTGCCTGCCACGTATGAGCTGTGAGCATTTTCCCCAATTCTTAATGCATTGCTGCCTGTTTTGTTTTTTTTTAAACACTTGCCCAACAAAGGTGTCAGTGCATAAATGCCTGTGCCAGCTCAAGACTGACTTTAAAAAATGCCGTTGCAGGCGTCCTGGAAGAAGCCGAATTTTACAACATCACATCATTAATAAAGCTCATCAAGGACAAGATCAGGGAACGGGACTGCAAGACATCGCAGGCATGTGTGGCGTCTCAGCTCTTTTACCATTTCGTCTTCTTTCAACTTGTAGACTCGGTGAAGTGAAAATAAAAATGTCTTGTGCACGTGACACGCCGTATAGATCATTTGACTCGAAATGATCTTCGCACATCTGTCATGTATTTTCAAAATTCACGTGATGGGGTCTTGAACCTTTTTTTCATTTCAGGTGCCAGTGAAGCACGTGTACCGAGTGCTTCAGTGCCAGGAGGAGGAACTGACACAGATGGTGTCGACCATGTCGGACGGCTGGAAGTTTGAACAGGTAACGCGTCTTCTCGGGACGGGCGCGATGGGGGAACATCCGCGGTCCTGTTTTCATGTGTTCCGCCCATCCCACGATGCTCACCTCGTCCGACGCTCCATGTCGGGATGTGACAGCGAGCCCCCCGCCCCCAAACAAACAAAACAGCGAATGCCTTCTCCCTGATTGTCCGCGCACGTCATCCGGGCATCCCGTCTGCTCTGATTGGTCGTTGCAGTTTGTCAGTATAGGTTACGGGCGGGCCCAGCGGTCGGAGTTTCTACTCATTGTGTCAAGGGAGGTGAAGGGAGAGGAGTCTGCTTTGCCAAACAACAGCGGAGAGGTGTGTCCCACGTGTTTCTGTCCACGGGTTGGTCACTGCATGGTCCCCCTTGTCGCCCTTACACGCCCTCTGTTGGCCAGCGTTGGTCCCAAATCCACACACTTGGATGTTGGTTCCTTCTTTGAGTTGATCCGCTTCATCTTGCGTCTTCAAATCATCCGTTAGGCCAACAGGAACACCTGCCACCCGTTTATTTGTGTATTTATTTATTTTAAGTTGTAGCACACTCACATTTTTTATGAGCTGGTCATCCGCCACTCTGGCTTGTTGGAACAGTAGCTACTCCGACCGTCGATGTGATGCCCAGATGCCCATTCTACTTAGTATCCCATCGGATAGTCGCACAATAGGACCAAGATTGATTTTGCAGTCTTTTATTTGAACCATTTATCCTATTGTCACTATGATTATAGTTTGAGGACATTGAGTTGAGTTTTGAACGACAAAAGTTGCGTTATCTCTGGCTTTCAAAGGCTGGGTCTCACCCGGTGAGTGACATGGGCGGCAGCGAGTTGGGGGGGCCTGTACAACACGTTCCGAACGAACGCCAAGATCAGCACGCTTGACTGTGTCGTAAATGGTAGACATGCCGTTGCCTGTTCTGCTCTGCGGTCACCAATTCACATTTCCTATTGGTGGGCAAGCTCGATCGGCTGACGTTGCGAGCGCTGGTTATACGTGCTAATCTTCTGTTTCTAGTTGTACAAACGAAATTGACCAAACGTGATGTTCCGTTTGTGTTTTATCCTGTGCTTGTTGCGATTGAGGTTCTTCTTTTCTGGTTCTGCCCCCGGATAGCAACGTGACTCCAGCAGCAGTGTGTAATGACTGCCTGTTTGAACATGTACACAAGGGACAAAATGTTTACAGCTAGCCAGTGGAGTCTCGCTGTGCAGTCAAAATGAGGCCAGATGGTCTTTTTGGACCTGGAGTTGCGCCCCCCCCACCACCTCTTCTCCCCCCTGATTCTTTCAAGGTGTACACAAAGTTTGTTCATCCGGCGCTCGCCATTTTATCTGTCGCCTTGCGTCCTTTGTCCCTCTTTTATTTATAGCAAAGATACAGTTTGCAAGTTATCTAAGAAACGATTCTGACCTTGAGTGAGCACTTGTAGGCCCCGTGAGATCAGAAGGAATTGAAGTTGACTTGGA